CTGCGGCTTAAGGACATTCCTGCCCCCGACCTACTAAGGAGGAATTACGACTATTGTCCACCTCATTCTTCGGCCGTGACCGCAGCACCAAGCGGCGGGACCCGATCCTTCCCGTCTAGGTATCCAGGTATACACACCGGTGCGTGCACCCTGCGCGAAGCCAGAGCCCCGTCAGCCACAGGAGGGGTACTCCTGTGTTACCGACTCACAACACGAGGAGGTGGGGTTGGCACATGGGCCCGGTGGCCCTTCTGCGAGTCGCGCTCTTAGCCTCGGGGAACAACACCCCGGGGCTGCGCGTCGTCGGGGCAATCGGGCCCCTCCTTGACCAGTGGGTCGACAGGGGATGGGGTGGGCCGTCTTTCCGGATGACCCAGGTGATGACGGGGCATGGCTGCTTCGGACATTTCCTGGGTCGGATCGGAAAGGAGCAAGACTCCCGCTGCCACCATTGCAGCGCGGCGGACGACACCGGCCAACACACGTTGGGCGAGTGTCCGGCGTGGGCGGACGAGCGGGATGCGCTCGTCCGCGTGATAGGGCAGGACCTCTCCCTTCCAGCGGTGATCACCGCAATATTGGAAGAGGAGAGGTCCTGGTACGCGTTGGCCTCCTTCTGCGAGAAAGTCATCTCGCAGAAGGAGACGGCGGAGCGGGAGAGGAGGGGCCAGATACCCCTTCCCCGCCCGCCACAGCGGCGGCGGCGGCGGCGCTGGGCTCGGGGAAGACTTCCGCGGGCCCGGCCTGCCCGACCGGCCGCGGGGGATGGGGTGGGAGCTGGGTCAGACGGAGGAAGAGCCGACGGGGAGACGCGTATTTCCCCGGCCTCCCCTCCCATGACACGGAGCCGGGCGAGAATGTTACTTGCCCGTGCTCCCGCTCCCACTCCACCCCCTACTCCGCCGCCCACACGACCGCCCTGACGGGCGGGGGAGGGGTTGCCCGCAAGCCGCGGGTAAGTCCCCTCCCCTCTTAGTGGGCGGAACACCGCCGAGGCGGTGAGGAGATGGCCCTCCCCCAACGACAAGGGGGGTGGCGGCCTGGGTCTGGCGGGCCGGGAACCCCGTCAGGCCCTGCCTCCACGGAGGCGGGCGGTAGAGGTCGTGGACGCCTCTGCCGCCCAAGAGAGTAGTGGATT